TGCATTTCTCTACTAATTAGTGATGTTGAGCATCTTTTCATGTGCCTCTTGGCCATCTGTATGTCTTCTTTGGAGAAATGTCTATTTAGGTCGTCCTTCCTTTTTTTTTTTTTGCGGTATGGAGGCCTCTCACTGCTGTGGCCTCTCCCGTTGCGGAGCACAGGCTCCGGACGCGCAGGCTCAGCGGCCATGGCTCACGGGCCCAGCCGCTCCGCGGCAAGTGGGATCTTCCCGGACTGGGGCACGAACCCGTGTCCCCTGCATCGGCAGGCGGACTCTCAACCACTGCGCCACCAGGGAAGCCCGTCGTCCTTCCATTTTTTGATTGGGTTGTTTGTTTTTTGATATTGAGCTGCATGAGCTATTTGTATATTTTGGAGATTAATCCTTTGTCCGTTGCTTCGTTTGCAAATATTTTCTCCCATTCTGAGGGTTGTCTTTCCGTCTTGTTTGTGGTTTCCTTTGCTGTGCAAAAGCTTTGAAGTTTAATTAGGTCCCATTTGCTTACTTTTGTTTTTATTTTCATTACTCTGGGAGGTGGATTTAAAAAGATCTTGCTATGATTTATGTCATAGAGTGTTCTTCCTATGTTTTCCCCTAAGAGTTTTGTAGTGACCGGTCTTACATTTAGGTCTTTAATCCATTTTGAGTTTATTTTTGTGTATGGTGCTAGGCAGTGTTCTAATTTCATTCTTTTACCTGTAGCTGTCCTCTTTTCCCAGCACCACTTATTGAAGAGGCTGTCTTTCCTGCATTGTATGTCCTTGCCTCCTTTGTCATAGATTAGGTTACCATAGGTGCTTGCTTTTATCTCTGAGCTTTCTATCCTGTACCATTGATCTATATTTCTGTTTCTGTGCCAATACCGTACTGTATTGATTACTGTAGCTTTGTAGTATAGTCTGAAGATAGGAAGCCTAATTCCTCCATCTCCGTTTTTCTCTCTCAAGATTGCTTTGGCTATTCAGGATCTTTTGTGTTTCCATACAAATTGTAAAATTTTTTGTTCTAATTCTGTAAAAAATGCTTTGGGTCGTATAGTCATTTGCACAGTATTGATTCTTCCAAACCAAGAACATGGTATACCTCTCCATCTGTTTGTGTCATCTTTGATTTCTTTCATCAGTGTTTTATAGTTTTCTGAGTACAGGTCTTTTGCCTCCTTAGGTAGGTTTATTCCTAGGTATTTTATTCTTTTTGTTGCAATCGTAAATAGGATTGTTTCCTTAATTTCTCTTTCTGATCTTTCGTTGTTAGTCTATAGGAATACAAAAGATTTCTGTGCATTAACTTGGTATCCCTCAACTTTACTAAATTCATTGATTAGCTCTAGTAGTTTTCTGGTGGTATCTTTAGGGTTTTCTATGTATAGTATCATATCATCTGCAAACAGTGACAGTTTTACTTCTTTTCCAATCTGGATTCCTTTTATTTCCTTTTCTTCTCTGATTGCCATGGCTAGGACTTCCAAAACTATGTTGAATAATAGTGGTGAGAGTAGACATCTTTGTCTTGTTGCTGATGTTAGAGGAAATGCTTTCAATTTTTCACCATTGAGAATGATGTTTACTGAGTTTGTTGTATATGGCCTTTATTATGTTGAGGTAGGTTCCCTCTTAGCCCACTTTCTGGAGAGTTTTTATCATAAATGGGTGTTGAATTTTCTCAAAAGCTTTTTCTGCATCTATTGAGATGATCATATGGTTTTTATTCTTTAATTTGTTACTATGGTGTATCACGTTGATTGATTTGCATATATTGAAAATCCTTACATCCCTGGGATAAATCCCACTTGATCATGGTATATGATCCTTTTAATGTGTTGTTGGATTCAGTTTGCTAGTATTTTGTTGAGGATTTTTGCGTCTATGTTCATCAGTGATATTGGTCTGTAATTTTCTTTTTTTGTGATATTTTTGTCTGCTTTTGGTATCAGGGTGATGGTGGCCTCGTAGAACGAGTTTGAGAGTATTCCTCCTGCTGAAATTTTTTAGAAGAGTTTGAGAAGGATAGGTGTTAGGTCTTCTCTAAATGTTTGATAGAATTCACCTGTGAAGCCATCTGGTCCTGGACTTTTGTTTGTTGGAAGATTTTTAATTACAGTTTCAATTTCATTACTTGTGATTTGTCTGTTTATATTTTCTAATTCTTCCTGGTGCAGTCTTGGAAAGTTGTAACTTTCCAAGAATTTGTCCATTTCTTCCAGGTTGTCCATTTTATTGTCATATAGTTGCTTGTAATAGTCTCTTATAATCCTTTGTATTTCTGCAGTGTCAGTTGTAATTTCTCCTTTTTCATTTCTGATTGTATTGATTTGAGTCCTCTCCCTTTTCTCTTGATGAGTCTTGCTAAAGGTTTATCAATTTTGTTTAATTCCTCAAAGAGCCGACTTTTAGTTTTATGTAATTCCTCTTTGATTTCTTCAGTGATCTCTTGGTTATTTAGCAGTGCACTGTTTAGTCTCCATGTATTTATGGGGTTTTTTTTCCTGTGGTTGATTTCTAATCTCATAGCATCGTGGTCAGAAAAGATGCTTGATACAATTTCAGTTTTCTTAAATTTTCCAAGGCTTGATCTGTGACCCAACATGTGATCTATCCTAGAGAATGTTCCGTGTGCTCTTGAGAAGAAAGTGTATTCTGCCACTTTCAGGTCGAATGTCCTATCAATATCAATTAAGTCTATCTGGTCTGTTGTGTCATTTAAAGCTTGTGTTTCCTTATTTATTTTCTGTCTGGATGATCTGTCCATTGGTGTAAGTGGGGTGTTAAAGTCCCCTACTATTACTGTGTTACTGTCAATTTCCCCTTTTATGGCTGTTAGCATTTGCCTTATGTATTGAGGTGCTCCTATGTTGGGTGCATAAATATTTATAATTGTTATACCTTCTTCTTGGTTTGATCCCTTAATCATTATGTAGTGCCCTTCCTTATCTTTTGTAAGTCTTTATTTTAAAGTCTATTTTATCTAATATAAGTATTGCTACTGCAGCTTTCTTTTAATTTACAGTTGCATGGAATATCTTTTTCCATCCCGTCACATTCAGTCGGTATGTATCCCTAGGTCTGAAGTGGGTGTCTTGTAAGACAGCATATATATGAGTCTTGTTTCTGTATCCATTCAGCCAGTTTGTGTCTTTTGGTTGGACATTTAATCCATTTACATTCAAGGTAATTATCGATATGTATGTTCCTATTACCATTTTCTTAATTGTTTTGGGTTTCTTTTTGTGGGTCTTTTCCTTCTCTTGTGTTTCCCACCTAGAGAAGTCCCTTTAGCATTTGCTGTAAAGCTGGTTTGGGGGTGCTGAATTCTCTCAGCTTTTGTTTGTTTGTGAAGGTTTTGATTTCTCCATTGAATCTGAATGAGATCCTTGCTGGGTAGAGTAATCTTGGTTGTAGGCGTTTCCCTTTCATCACTTTAAATATGTCCTGCCAGTCCCTTCTGGCCTGCAGAGTTTCTGCTGAAAAATCAGCTGATAACCTTATGGGGATTCCCTTGTATGTTATTTGTTGCTTTTTCCTTACTGCTTTTAATATTTT